TGTTACAATTTACCTTTATTACTATTCTAATATCTTTCAGAGGAGGGCAAAGTCAAGGCAGGTATAAATATTATCAATTTAGGGGTGTGACAGAGCCCTATTATTTTGTAGACACGGTTGTTTGTAATACCACCTACCCATCTAAATAAAGTGTTTAGGTGTTCATCAGGGATCAGTTACAGAATAAAAATAAGATGACTTCTAGCTTCTACTGAAAGAATTGGCAATGTAGCAGTGTAAATATTCTATAATACCCACTCAGAATATGAGATAATTAAATAAATTACAATAATTAATTTCATTAATATTTATAAATTATTATTAAGAAAAAAAGGGGCTTATAAACAAATAACAAAGTTGTTTTATATATTCTATTTACACAGTATTCATAGCAACACAATTTATCTACTGAACAAGATAGAAACATTTTATTTATGCAACACCAACAATACGCTTTTCGCGTAATCTGAGACGCCGTTCACGCTCAAATTCCTTCATGCGGAGCACATAACTGAAACAATATAATAAGTCATTAGGTATCATGATAAGGCATGCCAAAACATATAGGTACATTATCTATTCTCGGTCCAAAAAATTCTACATCATGAAATAACTAATTGAAAAAGAGTTTTTATCTCTAGACAAGTCAACTTCCTTTAAAAAAACAAGTAAAAATAAACATTAGTGACCATAAAATAACCAACATGATGGGAGTCATCAAAATAAAGTCATTAAAAGGAGGGCTCCAGAATATTATCTTTGTAGATCATTATTATACACATAATACATTATTAATATTAACTTGTCGAGAACCGTCATTATAGACACAATTATAGAACAATAGGTTGCGGTCACCGGTGACCACTTGGTGTTTGACAGTTTAAAATAAAAATGCATTGTGTGAAAGGATTAATCATGATAACAAAAGATGCCTCAATTAGTAAATTTGATGTATAAAAGAAGAAACAAAAATGTTAATTGCTGCATTTCTTCACATATTGTGTTATTATTAAGGCAACGTAAGTTATTAAGTTAATTACTAAATGGACAACATACTCATCCTTTTCGCAGGTCAAAAAGGCATGTTTCTCATGAGCGCACTTATAGAGCAATGGCATGTTTTTATAACGACAGGTTTGATAATCCAACAAGTAATGAGCACAATAGTCACGATGCTTTACTGGTATCTTAGCTGAAATTAGATCTTCTTCACGAGCAATCATTTCTGGAAAAAGAAAAAGACTTGTAATAATATATTGGATATTTTCTCCTGTTTATGTTCATGAGCAACACTTAAAAATCATATTTTCTGTTAGGTGTCCAATTAGAAATTGATAGTAATGACGGAGAGAAGCTTCAAAAATGAGTTTACAACGTCATAAGTTGGTTAATACTTCGTTTAGAAGGTTTATAAAAAGTTTGTTTTGGCCACAACATAACCTTAACAGAAATTATGTAACTTACGTTCAAATGTAATAGAAAACACATAACACTTAAAGAATTGAGAAGAATAGTGGATTTATATTTATTGTGATTATTACCTCTTGGTTTTCTCTGGTAGTTAAATCCTGCTTGGGGGTCAAAAGTTGGTTTATCATCCATGTAAAGATCAACTTTACGGGCATCATAAGATCCCATCATTTGACCCATCTTTGCGACTTGGTGTTTTTCTATTCACTCAACTAATATTACGGCCTTTAATAACTTCGGGCCTTTATTTATTTTAAAAGCCAGCTGAGATAAGTAGAAATTATTTCTACTCTATTTCGGAAGGTGTTACAGTGTTACAAGTGCAAGAAACTTCTTTGTATTTATACATTTATTATATAGACTTATACATTTATTTTAGTTGATGTTCAATGATATTTGATATTTTTATTATGTTTATATCATACATGATCACTAAAGTTTAGTATTCATGTAATGTGAATTTATTTGGAAACAATAATAATGTGAGGGCGACACATTGGTCGGTAAAATTGATCCATGCAGATGGAAACCCTGATTTTGACATGTAAAATATCGATTGTATGAAAATAAATAACTAAAATACAGTTCAAGCCAAAACGAATATAAAAAAATGAATAATTAATACATTCTTGTATGTTAGCATACCTACTTATTATCTAACAATTTTACTATTATTTTGTCATTGGAACACTAGAACTACGATGACCGATCAACTATTGTAATCTGTGGTAGCGATAAGTGTAATCAATAAAAGCGGGTATTTTGATTAACTATTTTTCCGTCGGTACCTGTAAATAAGTACCTAGTCTTACAAATATAATCTTCACAAATGATGGATCTACGTAAGTTATAATGTATCCTGTGGACCTACGCTAAGTGATGACTTAAATAACTGAAATTCATAATTAATACTCATAATTCAAAATCAAACAGTAGAAAATGGATTGCGTTACAAAAAGATTTAAAAGCCACAATTTAAATGTTTTGAAGACTGTCGGGAAAGGAACTTATGGGTACGTACAATCTATTTAAATATATTTTGTTTCAGTAGATGTCTAGCTGTTGGTATACATTAAGTCCTGTTTTCCAATTGTTTCCAGAAATGTATATTTATGTGAAAAACGCGATACTGCTGAATTAACAATAGTGAAAGACATTGAATTAAACATCAAACTTCAGGATCATAAACAAGTGAGTAGGTAATTAGATTAACTTAGATAGATAAGTTTTTTATGTCGTAGGCACTTTGTTTCTGAAAAAGCTCGTCCAAATAAATAGTGTAGTTTAGTGTACCTATTACCAAACTTCTATTTGGATCTAATCTTATTCTATACCTGGTCGCGGAGAACCTAACGGGTAACCGGGGCTCCGACTCGACGTGCAGGAGAAGGAACGGGGTGGTTTTTAGTCAGTAAGAGTGACACTCCCTCCCGCCTCACCGAGGCGGGAGCAGTCATTAGATGATTTTTCCCCCCTTAAAAAAAATACCTAAGCCTACATGTAGGTACCCATCTACCATATTATAGGTATAGATCTTCGTGTTGATATTGTTTTATTATTACAGGACATAGCAAATGAAATAAAGATTTTATCTTCGTTGAGTCACTCGAACATTATCAAGTTTTACGATTGTTATTACAATGGCAATCATGCAATGATATCCATGGAATACGCCACTAGCGGGAATCTGTCGGAATACATGTATCATAGATATCCAAATCTATTGCAACAACAGGTGAATATTATATTTCATGAACTTATTTTTAAGTTATGACGTAGACTTTCGAATCAAGATTAAGAATCTCTAAAAGATTTTCCGTACTTTGCAAGTCATAGACTTGCTTGCCTACGAGTTATTGTATTCAATCAGATAGCACGTAGGCGACGAGGCTCGATGAAAAAGTTATTGCTCTTATTTATTTGCTAGGTAAAACCGCAAAATTCAGTACCTATTCTGTTGGTTGAACATTTCAGGAAATACTTTTCTATTTCTGCCAAATTTTGTTGGGAGTAAACTACATCCACAGTCAGAAGATAATTCACAGAGATTTAAAAGCAGACAATATCCTATTGACTGGTAAAAATGGTGTTTTGGTAAAGATAGGCGATTTTGGCATTTCCAAAATGTTAGCAAGGTGAGTAGAATGTACCTACTTACCTACTTAATTTTTTTGACATCTAAGGGCCGATTTATCATTATTTCAGATAATTCTTAACTCAGCTGTAGAATAAAATTTACATTTTAGTTTTTGGAAGAGTGATTAAGTTTAATATTCATCGTTATTCCTCTGATAAAACTTAACAGTGTTGGAAAAATCGAAGTTTGGATCGAGTTTCGAAATACCCATAATACACCTTTACCCGGCACCTGCTCAACAGTTACACTTGACTTGAGATCACTCGACCGAGGTAGTGAACACTATTTACCTATGACTCAGTGTGTTGAATAAATAATAACTTTTCACAGTGCCAAGAAGACATCAACTGTAATAGGAACTCCTTATTATCTGGCTCCAGAATTATGTGAAGGCAAACCTTATTGTAACAAAAGCGATGTTTGGGCTTTAGGGTGCTTGCTTTATGAAATGTGCACTCACAAGAGGGCTTTTGACGCTGAGGTAAGTTTATTTCATTACGTGTTTGATCCCCCTCTATAATTTTCTCCTGTGTTTTAGGTGCGTTACAATCGAACAAATAGTTTAAATAATATTAGGATTATTAGGTACCTATGTATAATTATGAATTTCATAAATTGTTCGAATCGTCGCCTCGGACAATCTGTATTACAAAGGCGTATTAACATAAAGGCGGTATTACACATTTGGGCAAATATAGATTTAGTGAGTGGTAAATGTCCTTTCTGTACATTTCAATAAAATGTAAAAACAGTGTTCGTCCATGCCATTGCAATTCAACAACAACAGAACTGTCGCGCGACAATATCATCTTTACTGACGACAAACTGAATGAGACATAAATCTGTGAACGCCGTTTGTGGAGCGCGGCAAGATCCTTTGATGTGCGCACGAAAAGACGACAACATTCGGTTGGCCGGCCGCCGGCCATCTTTGGCGCCAACTATCAACATCGCAGAAAGTACAAGGATAGCCTATACACGTTGGCCCAACGTGATGGCCCAATGTGCTGACCTCTCTGTTCTTCTTTGCATTTTTTTTAAACAAGTTTGAAAACGGCAGTTTGTGGATTATTTTGAACAACCACTCCCACGATCCCCGTACATCATTTTGAGTCTTGACATTGAGATTTTGTTTGACGGTTTTGTTCAACCTGTAAGGGTTGTGTAATAAAAAATAGTAACAATAGTTCAGTGCTGAATGCGAGTCCAATCGTAGGAAGTTCGGGACTGATTATTGTAGGTACTAGTACTTTGTGATTTCGTGAATTACACGAGAATTTGTAATGAAATGGAAATCTCCATGTTTAGTGACAGTGATGATAGTGATTTGGAACTTCTAACTTGGTTATCCTACTTGGAAGATAGCGAGAGCGTGAAATAAGACGCCCCTAAGATATACACTCAAGAGTTTCTCGCCAGCGGATCGCGCGTTATGTATCCGGGAATTTTACAAAAATGATAGTTATTAGAAGACATCGTAATTTAGGTATACCATGTCCGAAGCATACAAACTATACAGAAATGGGTGAAAACGTTTGAGGAGATCGGTTCAACAGAAGATAAGCCAAAAACTGAGCACATAAGCCCAGGCTTAGTTAAAACGGAAAATAAAGTGCAACCGTTCAAGCGACCTGATGATGATGATTCTGACCCCAATCTCTCTATTCAGAAGCATGCAAGTGCCTTGTCCAAAGATAAATAACTATATTCTGTTCATAAAAGTAACTGAACGGTCAGTACGGTTATACTTATGTACATACGTAAACATACGTTGACGCCGCCCAAAGTGGCGGATTCGCCGGACATAGATGCATTACTAGGTACCTACAACGAATTCTCCGATAGGGTTTTTATCTTATAGGTACTTACTACCTATATATAAAGCAGAAGAGTTTGTTTTTATGTATGAACGCGCTAATCTCCGTAACTACAATTCTGATTTGAATACTTAATTCTTTTTGTGTTGGATAGTACATTTATCGAGGATGGCTATAGGCTATAAAACATCACGCTACGACCAATAGGAGCTAAGCAGAGCGTGTGAAACCGCGCGGAAGTAGCTAGTAATTTTAATAAATGATTGAAAATATTTCTTTAAAAAAAGATTTTATTTATGAACCTACGAACCTACTATTGATTTTAACCGATTGATAGTTTTTCCTGTATTTTTCCACATCCACTCTTTCCTCTAAACCAGAAAGCGTTTTGTTCATATAACATAACATCACGCCTTTTATACCCGAAGTGGTACGCAGAGGTGTGCATTATGCCACTGTACAATATAACACACACTTATCACTATTTATGTTATGAGTCCCATGTAATAGGGGTGAGCCTAGGTACTGTGAATTTTTTTAAAACCCAGTGATACTTTGCCCGACCCGGGAATCGAACCAGACACCCCTTGCGCGACAGTCGCACTTGCGACCACTCGGCCAATGAGGCAGTCGTTTTGTTCATAAGTGTACTAATGTGTTTCTTATCTTGAATATGATAAAGAAGACCTAACTATGAACTGTTTATTCTTCTTTACCTGAGATATTTTATGATTATAATAAACCAAACTTGTATTGTATATTTCAGACACTAGTGGGACTAGTAAAAGCAATCACAAGTGGAAATGTTCACCCAATTGACTTGACAATATATGACAGAGGCATGCAGGACCTTGTCGACTCAATGCTGTCAGTCTTACCAGACAAAAGACCTTCTATCAAAGAACTAATGGGACGAATGGTATTACTACCTGATATTTACACTGTTTATTTAGATGCTGGCAATGATGAACTATTATTTTTAAAAGCAAGACATTTTATGGAAATATAATTAAGATGATTGTAATATAATGAAACAAAAACTAAATATGGAATCTTTGTTTTATTTGAAATAAGGAAAAAAAAAACAGTTGTAGTATGGAGTTCTTTTCAGGTAACATCGGAAAGATGAAATTGCCATCTCAACATTTTGTACCTTGAACCTTCAAACTTCAAATCAAACTTAGTTTGGTTTGATTGCTTGTATAGTATCTGTTCTTTTGTTTAGTAACCCTGGTTTTTGTGTAGTATCCATCTTAATAGCTAAATATAATTAAACGATAGTGTAGAATGAACACTGTTCTTATCACCTTAACATAATCATAAATCACACTTCTATGATTAATTAAAAAAAAAAGGAAAGGAAATTGCTGTAATATCTGTTCTAAAAAAAAAATGAAATCTTTTTAGGTAACCTTCTTACTGGCCGTTTTGTTGATCAGTCTCCATTTCCTCTTCTTCATCTTCTGTAACCAAATAAAATACAGAATGAATGACACCACATACCTTACACGGTCACTATGAATTCTATTGAACACTCCAATTTATACCAGTTATGTGATAATCACCAGTTAGAGAATTATGGAAATACATGGCTTATCTACATCAGGCACAAATTCGATTCTGTGCACTTACGTCAATAAGAAAATACCAGCAGCCGCACTTCCAAAAACTTGATGTTTTTTGGACAGAGTTAAAAGGAATTAATAAATCACTTGACAGCTAGTATATAAGACATAAAATAAGATAACATCACGCCTTTTATCCCCGAAGGGGTAGGCAGACATGCACATTATACCACTGTAACACGCACTTTTCACTATTTATGTTATGAGTCCCATGTAATGGGGGTGAGCCTATTGCCATATACCGGGCACAATTCTAGACTCCGTGCTACTACTGAGAATATTTAAAAACCCAGTAATACTTTGCCCGACCTGAGAATCGAACCCGAGACCCCTTGCCCGGCAGTCGCACTTACGACCACTCGGCCAAAGTGGCAGTATATAAGACACCATAGAAATTACATTGTTGCATGTAGATCTGCGTTATGGCACACAACAGGTTAAAAAAAGAAGAATATCATAATAAATTGGAAAGCAAATCTTACGTTGGCCATTGCCCTGAGTTTGAGGTTGTAGTGGTTTCTGTCCAGGTATCTGGCCAGATTGCAGCATCCTTGTCAGCCTTTCTACCTCTTGTAGAGATGAAGCATTTTTGATGGCTTCACGAATCTTGTGGATTTCTTGTGGGGTAAGATCTAAAATATGCAAATGAATTAGGCAAAATTATAATGAATTCTAAATTAACTATATTATTAGTGTTTATTAATTGGAATTAACATATGAATTAGCAGCTAGGTATGAATTTATAACTTACTTGTAACTTTAGGATCAGGCATATTGCCTCCAGGCACAAATGTCTTGGCTTTCCTCGTAATTTCCTTCTGCATCTCTTTTCCTTTTTTACTTTTGAACAAAGCATTAGCTTCATCTCTTTCTTTTTGTTTAATTTTTCTGAAATCTAACAATCTGAGCTCTGGAAATTTGAATGCCACATATGCTCTGAAAAATATGCAAGTCAATTATAAGATAAATCAAATTTCTTTATAAAATATTGGTATATCAATTTCAATATAATATTTACCTGTAATGCTGTTTGTTTGATACTGGGTTGTGCATTAATGACAGTGTCCTCAGTTTGGGCATTGTTGTTAGAGGGTCCAAGTCACCTAATTCTGTAATATTGTTGTTGGTCAATATTAAGCTTTCTAAGTTAGGTATGTATTGCTCTAAATTTTCACCAATCCTCCTGTAACATTTAATTATTAAAGAAAATTTATGAATCATCTAAATATTTGTACTTAAAGCAGAGAATTCACTCAAAAGATATATCCTTCAGACTTTGCTATTATAAAGACTTGGGAAATGACGATAATGTAGTAACTAACAGATCATAAATTACAGATCTATGGTAAAGGCTCAGGCCGGTCTACTGATTTGGTGGATAATCATCTTATGAATTCCATGCTTAGGTGGTAGAAATAAGGTACAGATCCGGATGTGCAGCCATTTATTAAGAAGGTGTAACAATGTATACTTACACAATTCTGTTGTTATTCAATAACAGGCATTTGATTCTTTTCAACAATGGAAATCCATCAAGTTTCCTGATATCGTTGTCTGAGAAGTCAATGGTGTCGAACTGATCTAACGTCGCACCCATGTTTTCAATTTGCGGTATTTTGTAACCTGCAAATAGAGGCGGGAAGATGAGGATTAGAAATACTTTAAAAATTATACAGTCAAAGGTTTCATGGTTAGTAGCAAACATGGGAATTTATAAAAGTTGATACATTTTACATTGTGTTTTTATTAGGTAGTAGTAAATATAATGCCAAAAGATTGATTACGCTATCCGACAGTAACTAACCTCTAAGATCTAACTCTCGATCTCGACATGGATTCATGTACTGCATAGAGTTTTGAATCAACTCTGTTGTTAGTTTCACCATTTTGAATTTTGTTGCTTGAAACAATCAAACAAGAATTATATTAGTATTTTATCACTAACAAAACGAAAATTATTATTTTCGTAGCGTTGCTTCGCGTCGCGTTGGTTTATTGGTTTGATACTTTGATTTGTCAAATGTCAATGTCGAGTTGTCATACTTGTCATTTATTGTCAATTTGACAGTTTTGACATACTAATGTGAAAGATGCCATATAACATTTTTATTTTTCTAAATTGCCAGTGCAAAGACTTTATGATAACTTAATTCTAATAAAATATTAATACGATTCAATTCAAGCTCAAAAAGTGTTTCTATCAAATGTAATGAAGTTACATTACTTGGTTATCAGTAACGAATGTCTAACCCTTACAATTAAAATATGATAATTTGGTGGTGAGTAACCGGCTACTGCTAAACGTGTTACAGGTTCGATTATCAGCCGAAAAACATATTTTTTGTTATCCGATCCGAAAACCGATGTGAAGCAACGCTTGCGTTGTGTTTCGTCGTGTGAGTGAGGTTACCGGAGGCCCAATTCCCCTCCCCTTCCCCAATCTCCAATTCCTAAATACCCAACCATCCTCAAACTCCTAATCCCCAAAAGACTGGTAACGCACTTGTAACGCCTCTGGTGTTCCAGGTGTCCATGGGCAACGGCAATTGCATAACATTAGGTGATCCGTCTGCTAGTTTACCGGCTTATGCCATAAAAATAAAACCGAATTGAATTGTTTCTTCTCTAGGTGTCATGGATATGGTTGGTAATGCTTCTGTAAAAATGTTAAAATGCGCAAACACGACTGACGACGACGCGAGATTGCTTCACGCTCATGTTCTACTTTTGGATTGCTTAGTTTTGCAATAAACTATAATTAAAATATGTATTTTTTGACATAAACTTTTCTAACATTCTGTAGGTATCAAAATATACCTTAGCTATAAAGTTTTGTTTTATATAAGCATATAGTAATTGGTTAAATACCTACTTTCTGCACGTGATAAATTCATATATATATCTTTGTCAATACAATTTTGCGTGGGCAGTTGAACGTTGCACCTGGCGTTCGTTAAAATATTATGAATGTCTGACATGCTGGAACAATAAACCTATTCAATTTATTTTGCTTTTCACGGAATTTGTTTTACACGATGTCCAGATTGAAGAAGGGGTAGGTAGCATGATATTTTCCTTGAAAATGGTTTAAAAAAAACCGTAGGTTTATCATCATAAACATCATACCTTTACCTATATTTATCAGCCACAAGAGTCACGAGATGTGCACTGGAGTTACAACTACTACTAGAAACCTAGAAAATAGGCTAATAGTTTTAGAGATATAGATACAGGGTAGAATTTTGTAATGCCACCTGAAGGGGAAGTATTCTTAAACTGTCAAACACCAAGCGGTCACCGGTGACCGCAACCTATTGTTCTATAATTGTGTCTACAAAACCGGTACTCGACGAGTTAATACATAAGATAGAAAATTTTACTCAAAGAAAACATTCCCTTATTTTTTAAAAGAAACATAATTGCATTAGGAAATTTAAAAAAAATAGCTTGCCTCACACGGTTTTCGAACTGACTAAAATCTGTCAAAGTTTGCACCCTGTAGGTACTTTTATTGCATTTTAGGTAGTTTGTTTCATAAATAAATTATTAGGTATTATGAATGTAGGTACCTAGTATCTAATTCGGTGTGTTTATTTATACTATTCTACTATTTCTTATATTAACTACCTAGCTACTTCATAAATGGGTAAGTTCATTTAATAGAACTTTCGGAATTTGGAAGTAAAAAAAGAATCGTCAGATAAATACGAAACCAGGACATACTTAATCTGCTATATGTTAATAGGTATCTATATAAGTAAAATGAATGAGTTAATTTAGAATAGGTCAAAATGTAAGGGGCACTTTTTGGAGTAATCGTATAAAAACATCTCCTATTTTTTCCAGACTTACCTTGACCGAAAAAAAAATTAAAGGAAAAAGTAACCTAAAACGAAAAAGTAACCTAAAAAGCCTTGCTGCCAAAAAATTGTGACCTAGAAATTAAAATTCTATTTTAAAGCAAAATAAGTAGGTATACAGGATTAGCAGTAAATGGAAACAACCGCCGTAATTCACCGCGGAAAAAAGCGAAGACCTTACCACACCAACGTTCATAAGGATTTACGCTTCAATTTAAAATGGTCTCACACTTTTTACTGCGTCGTAAAGAAGTTATAAAAATAAACCTGTATTAAATGGTATAGAAATTCCACAGTTGGGAACCAATGAAATACATTATGAAATGAAATTGCTGACTTAAAGTGGGTAAAGTTCTTTTAATCCTATTATTCACTTTTTGAGTTTGAGGCTGCAAAATAAAATTCCTTCTATTTTAGCAGGGAGATATTTTTGTCGTGTTTGTAACCCAAAGCAATTGTACATAGTTCTAACTTTTAGAATTTTAATTACTTTTATTTAATGTTTAACTACACCAATCTCTTTAATTCTTCCAACCTATAATAATTAGGGAAACACCAAATAATTTCCCACCAAACCTATTACTCCATTTACAAACGTACTTATATGTATAAAAACCGAATGAAGCAACATAATCTCCGACATTCCTTCCCCAATCACGAAGTATTTTCCGGCGCTGAATTCGAGACATTGCTTGTCGAAATGCGGCCTCAGAAAATAAAAGGAGGTAGAATTAATCTCATTACACTGCCGCTAGACTGGGACTTTTATTTAAAGATATTTATGTACCTACGAAGTCTCTAAATTTCTACAGGGATGTACCAAATCTCTACACTTCCACAGTATTGTACAGATGAACATTACTTAGTAT